TGTTAGGTCCTGAACTAGCGTGGGCACGCTGATGGATGCGGGGCTTTATGCGGCAACAGAATGTTGTCGAATAGAACCCCGCACCCATCAGCGTGGCCACGCATGATCACGACTTGACACGTGGATGTGTGTGCCGTTGTGTTCAACTACCATCTTGGTCCCCGTCGATAGTTTGTATTCAGCGCCTCTATTTCGTTCGTCTTATGCGTTGGCCAATTTCTTTCCCGAACTCACCTCGGGGTGCGTCCGCGGATCTCGTTCCATTGGCGACCACTCGCCCTGATCAGATGGCACACTCAAACGTCCACGTGTCAGTTCCTGAACAAGCGTGTGCACGCTGATGGATGCGAGGCTCTATGCGGCAGCAGGATGTTGTCCAATTGAGCCCCGCACCTATCAGCGTGGCCACGCATGTTCAGGACTTGACATGTGAACGTGTGAGTGTGCCATCTGATCGGGGCGAGATGAAGGAGTTTCGGGAGCAAGAATGCATGCGTTTCATTGGTGATCCCTTGCCCCTATCAGATGGCACACTCAGACGTCCACGTGTCACGTCCTGAACAAGCGTGGCCACGCTGATGGATGCGAAGCTCTATGCGACAACGGAATGTTGTCGAATAGAGCCCTGCATCCATCAGCGTGGCCACGCATGTTCAGGAGATGACACGTGGACGTGTGAGTGTGCCATCTGATCGGGGCGAGTGATCACCAACAAAACGGGACCCGTGAATGTAGCCCGAGAATGTTGTGACACGCCCTTCGAGATTGTGTCGTCACTTTAGATGTTTTCTTGAAGTGTTACTCGCTTGTCGTCAATTTGTCGTCCCTCTTACGAACTGCGATATAAGGATTTTAGTCGTATGTTCTCGAACACGAGAACATGGTTTCTCACGAATCGTGTCTCTTCTGGATTGCACATGGACTTTCTTCTCGCCGAATTAATGTTTATTGCGCTCGGTTTGTTTATTCGTTTTCCACGTAAGTCGCGGCGTGGAATTGGCTCGGCGTTTGGTTCTGTATTCGTAAATTGTCCTCCACATTCGTCGAATTTTTCACATTTTTCGTCACTCTTCCTCTCGCCGACACGAACAATTTTTTCTTATATTTCTTTTGTGTCGTTTTATTAATGGGTCACATTGCGAATTTCGAAATGAACAACACCATCCGCAGGATCTGCACATGGAGAGACAGAGAGATAAAGACAGGCTCTCTCGCTGCGCATCCTCTCCTTGTCGACGTCTCTAGCGATCTTAGTCTCCCTTCCGTGTCTATGCGATACACAAAGATTGGAGAAAGGCAGAAAACACGCATAGACACGGAAGGGAGACTGTGTATCGCAGACAGTCGTTCAACCGATCTTAGGTTGGTCCCCTCTGAGTGCAATCACAGATCAGTAATCCGAAGACTGCCATGAGAGATTCGAAGACACAGGAGGCGAACGTGTATTCAAATCTTTAAACCCTATAAAACCTCGCGTCAGCCGAACGCCGCGAGGAACCCTTCCGTTGACGTGGACACAGGACAGGACACGGAGCCATCAGATGCTCATAGGGTATTGTCGACGGCGACATGTCTGACCAACCAGGAGGACGACAGCCCACCCTGCCCATACCATCTTGTGGTGGCGCAACAACTAATGTATCCGAGCCACCCTTGTTAATTTCGGTTGCATCCGAGCCACAACCCACTAAAACTCACGGTGCGACCACTAACCGAGGCACCTCGGCGAGGTTCGGATTAATCCGAACCACACCGACGACGAATTTGGATTTGTCACATGCTCAGACGGTATTTACGACGTCGAAAGTTTTGATAAACGTGAACGACGAAATCACACGCTGTCAACAGACCGTGCCGTCTATCCACCGGTCCCCGTCTCGGATTAATCCGAACCACACCTCCGACAGGATAGGGTCCACCCTATGCTCACAGGTCATTGAGGAAAACACACCATGCCGATGGCCTCCTCTTGTGGTCGGTCGTTTCTGTCTCGCATTGTGCTAATTCGGATGCATCCGAGTCACAACGTCGGTCTTTCGAGTCTGCCCGGTTCGGATGTGTCCGAACTACCCCGCTGTCTTCGTCTTCGACCATTCGCTCTACGAAGGGCAGTCTSATGACGAGGGTTAACGATGCCTCGGATTCATGCAACTAAAACGAGTCAAGATGGTGACGCTCGGGCGGAAGAAATACGAGCTCGAAACTTGTGCTGCGACTACAGCAAACATGTCTGTTGTTTGAATTGGGCGAGCAACAACCAACTAAAACTCACGAGGACGACGACATCCCCCGTGATGACGCACAGATTATAATGACACACTACGGCAATCGTGGGGAGGTCCGGTGTGTGGTGTGGCGACAACAAACCGAAGCGCCTCGGCGAAGTCGGATTAATCCGAACCACACCGATGGCTTTTTCGGATTTACCACATGCGCATAGGGTATTGACGACGTCGCACGGTCTGATAAACTTGTACAACGAAAGCACACGGTGTCGGCACAGCCTGTCGTGGTCGCATGTATCGGGACAACCCCTGTCGAAATCGGATAAATCCGAGCCACACCCGTCTTAAACACTCAACGACGAAGTCGCACGGTGTGTCTTCATCCTTGAGTGTTTAAGACGGGTGTCGCTCAGATTTATCCGATTTCGACAGGGGCTGTCCCGATACGTGCGACCACGACAGGCTGCGTCGACACCGTGTGCTTTCGTCGTACAAGTTTATCAGACCGTGCGACGTCGTCAATACCCTCTGCGCATGTGGTAAATCCGAAAAAGCCATCGGTGTGGTTCGGATTAATCCGACTTCGCCGAGGCGCCTCGGTTTGTTGTCGCTCCACCACACACCGGACCTCCTCGCGATTGCCGTGGATTGCTGGATGGGCGTCAACAGACCGTGGGGTCCATCCGCCGGTCCCCGTCTCGGATTAATCCGAGCCACATTTGCGAAGTTCAGGTTCAACCTAACCAAACCTACGGCAGGATAGGGCTTACCCAGTGCTCACAGGTCGATGACGAAAACACGTGTTGTAGATGGCGACCTCTTGTGGACGACCGTCTCTGGACCGCGCTGTTCGAATTCGGATGCATCCGAGTCACAACCGTAGCTGACTCAGAAGGACAAGAAAACTCGAGTTCGGTTTGGTCCGGGCCGAAAGGGGGTGGTCCACACCGCTTTGGAGCTCGGATGCATCCGAACTACGACGGCGAACTTTACAATCCGCTTGTCGACTTCGGATGACACCGTATCACCACGGGGTGCACGTCTTCGTCTGCTGTATCAGCGTTCTAGTGCCTTCTTGCGAGGTATTGCTTTTCCCGGTGCAGGTGCCTATGCGATGTCGGTTTTTCGACTGCGCCTGCTTCGGATGTATCCGATCTATCCTGCGGTCTTCGTTTTCGACCATTTGTTCTCTTAAGGGCAGTGTGACGAGGATGGCTCACGATGCCTCGGATTCATCCGAAACGTGCAGGCGTGTGGACCACTGTCGTCTATCTATGACGGAACTTCGTTCTTTTGGGGTCCGGGTGACCGATAACATAATACGTGTTGTGGGTTGTGGTTGATGTTGGGACGTGCTGACTGTTCTGAGTGCATGTGGGTTCATTTCCTCCGTGTGTTTGAGGGATTGGCTACACACGGACGAAGCTGCTCCGCTGGTGGTTCTGCCCCACATGGAGTGGAGCGTCGACGGACGACGTCGTCGCCGGCAAGGGAAACGAGTCGGGGAGGTGGCGGTGGGGAGGAAGAACGACGGGCTCAAAACTTGTGGTGCGACTACAGCAAACGTGTCAGGTATTTGGACTGGGCGAGCCAGGACGGCTCCGACCCGTTACAACCACCGTGCGGGCCGCTCTTGTTCGTCGCCATTCTCGCCGACAGAACGCGTCTCGCAGGGTCCATCGTCCAGTGGGTCGACGATGGCGAATACAATTTCAAGTTTACGTTGAAGAAGCATTACAGAAGTGATGGTTCCGTCGACGACATCGCAAAGGGTGCAAGGTTGCCAGGAGGATGTTCGGTGGGTACGGCCGGCGTGCGATGTCTTTGCCAAGCTTTGTCTCGCTAGCGCCGGGGCATGGCGAGGCCATTCATGTGACAGACTTCCTCGAGGTCTGGGCGAGATCTGGTACCTCTGTCAGTGCCGTGGACGTCAGACCTGGGACATCGATCAGTGGTCCTGTTGGGTTCACGGGAGGAGAGTGCTCTGAAAGGGGGATGGGAGGTCAGGGTGGCCTGCCAGCTACGCCTCCTGATCAAGAGGTGGGCATGTGAGACGACTCAGAGGACGACCATCCGCGTGCTCCCTTGAAACCAGGCTTGCATGGATCTCGCCGCCAAGGTTTGCTTGATGAGTCGACGCCACGTGGAGGCGGCGATGGTGAACGGCTGCGACAGGGCTCAGAATCAACGACTCCTCGTGGTCTGGTCAAAAGGATCGGTACGTTCATTCATGGCATGCAGGTGGACGAGGTTTCGCCTGGAGATCGCGCAGGTGGTCCGCAGGTTCGAGAGGTGCGTGGGTCAGATGAGACGACTCGCCGGGCCCGGCCTGCGCCTGCGCAATAGCAGACTAAGTTGAGCCAGGAACGAGAAGCAAGTGGGAACGTCGCCGGTGAGGAGGAGGTATCCGAGCAGGGGCTGTTTCGTGAGAGATTGGCTGAAAAGACTCAGTCGGGAGGCAAGCGCAACTTGCTGGATGAGGAAGAGCGAGAGGGAGTAGGTGCTCTGAAAAGGCAGAGAAAGGTAGGAGGGAGTGCTCGGACGCCAACAACACGGGAGGGCGGTTCCGTTGAGAACAGGAAAAGGGTTGGAGGTGGGGATGAAACGCCAAAAGACTCGTCGACACGGCGAAGAACCGGTGAGTCTTCCGGGAAACGGTCGAAATCATCGAGGGGGAAGAAAGCAGATGAGGGCGATAGCGGGGAGGGGGATGACGACGTGGAGATTAACCTCAACGCCTTTAACCTCGACAATGCGTTCTTCCTCGAGATGAAGACAGGGGTGCAGAGGGACGTCGTGTTGCACATCCATCCCGAAAGGATAATGGCTCTTCCAGACTGGGAAGACGCGTACAACCACTGATCCATGGACGAGTTCCTCGTTGATACCATCGCGTCGGCTATGATCGACTGCTACGAATGTAAAGACATGAGATACACAAAGCCCACTTTCGTTCTCGCTCCGATCGTCGCGCCTCTAGAGAACGGCGAGCCTGTTGTGCGCGTGCTGCCTGCTGACTTCGACAACTCACAGCCGGAGAAATACTGGTATTATCCTGTGTGTGGACAGCATAACGCGAGGGTGGCGATGAAGGTGAAAGACCAACCCGTGTTTGAGTACTACAACTTCTGTAAATGGCCGTTCAGACCGATCTACTTCCCAGACGACGAGTTCGACGGGTACGCCCATGTCAGCTGCGAAGACAACATGAAAGACAAGAAGAATCCACCGTGCTTGCCGGTTTTGTCTATGCGGGACATTCGCAATATCTGGGAAATTAAGGGCAAACCACGTATGGTGCTCGGCAATGCGTCGAAGAAAAAGGACAAGGTGCGAAAGTGGGTGCAGTTCATGGCGTTGGCTATGAAGAAGACACCGTACACGCCTTTGTGGAACCTGTCAACGGAAGAAAAGAAAAGAAAGGAATGGGCTGAGAAACTTCGATACTACCTCCCGCTGACCATGGCAGATGACTCCGTCTTTGCTTTGGGGGAGAAGTTGTATGAGGAGTGGTCGAAAGGGAAACTCCTTGCTTCCGACTGCCAGCGTTGGACTGAAAAGCCACCCACCCATGAGGAGGTGGCCAAGCCAGGACTCTCCACTGTGACTGACAGCCAGGGGCTGAAGAAACACGTCTGGTACGTGAAGGTGGACGACCCGTCAATGAAAAAGGGAACGGGGAAGCCAAAGAAAGGCGCGGAGGAGAAAACTTTCTACGTCCAAGTTCCTGAGCCGGATGTCCACTCCTGGAAGGAATTGGTGGACTTGACAGACCGCGAGAAGAAAAGGCTGTTGAACGGCGTCTTGAACCTTAACGTCGTGTGGGTTCAAACGAGTAGCAAGAAGTTGGCGGAGCAGGGGAAGTTCATTGTCAAGGAGATGATCGACATAATAAAAATGGACCGGATTATGCTGAGGCTGTGGCACTACGTGGAGTTCGAGTACGAGGAAATGGATAAGCGGGAGTGGAATGCCAACTCCACGTTCTTCAGGTCCAAGAAGCAACTGTTGGAAGAGTTCAAGGACAAAGGTCTCGACGACAAGCTTTGGAACGAGAGCAGGAAATTTTTCACGGACACCACGTACATCAACAAGTGCCCTCATTTTCTCGGGTGTCAGCACGACAACAATATCAAGAGAACGGCGGCCCTCGTCAATGACCAGCATTTCCCGGCGGAGTGGAAGCGTGTCGTCCTTTCGGTGATCACTGGAGATCGCGCCAAAGGCAAAAAAAAAACTCAGGGCGTTGATGAATGCATCAACATTATGTGGACGAGGACAAGCGCCTTGACGACGCTGGCCCAATTTAACATCGACCCATTGAGTGCCATAGATCATAAGGAGGCGCTAGGAAAACTAGGGCATCAGCTACACTCCCACACTTGCGTGCTCGACTTGTGTGGAACTGTGGACCGTGCGCAATGGGACCCTGGGGCATTCGCGTCTCTGAGTAAGTTGTTGGGCTTCGTTTGTCAGGACTACTGGACATTGGTGGTATTCGTTCCCTGCCCGTGGAACCTCTCCTTCATGACATCTTTGTCTGCGTTTGGGGCTACCCGATGCTACACGGGGAAGTGGGTTCGGAAGACGGCATCGAAGAAGACGCATCAGTTCGGAAACAGCGTCTGGGAGGAGTCGGATGTGATGCACATCCTTTTCGAGGATCCTCGGCTACTGACTCACCCGGTGTATGAGGGATCTGTTGCTGAAGACGACGACGCCGCTCTCCGGAGGAAACAGAAAGTGACACCCACGGATGTGGAGGAGAAGTCTTTCAAGTCCTTGACTTTTGCGGACATCGGAAACCTCACCCAGAAGGGGGCTCTGTACAAGGACGGCGAGCGGAATCCGAATCAGTTATGCAATCAGCTTCTTTTCTTCTGTGGTGTGGCGGATGCCGTGCTGTTCTTGGGCAAGCCGCACGCGCAGGTGGTATGGAGTCTGCTTCAGCAGAGAAGGCAAGTCTTGGCCATGGATGGGGACACAACGCAGCTCGAATACACCGTGCAATATATCACCCATGAAGTGTTGTCCGAGGCTTACCCATGCGATTTTCACCATGTCGTGGTCGAGCCCGTTTATGACCCGAACAAGGACATGTTCTTCAAGTTGACTCCGAAGAAAAGACGCCAGGTCTACTCCTTCCTTTACGACAAACAACCAAATTTGACCCGCAGTATGTGGTGCGGAAGGAAGTCCCCATTGCGGTCCTCCAGGGCTACCACGGAGCGAGTCGGGCCGGTGCTGTGAGTTTCATTAAGAGGCTGGAATATGTTTTTTTTAACGAGGATGTTGTCGATCCGGCCGACTTCACTTTGGATAAGTACAAGCTGGCATTCGGTGAGGAGGACGACTTCAATATCGAGACTGAGCAGGAGGAGAGCGTTGAGGACGACCTCTTCGATTTGGACGGGCAATTGGCCATCTTCATGCCCAAGTTTCTGAGTCGCCGTCAGTATGCAAACCGAGGACACCTTTCGCTACACCCACCTCGGGCGGTCCCACGCCTGTGTCCTCCTCAGTGCCTGTCAAGAGGGGTGGGTTGTCCCGTCTGAGGAGTTCGCCGGGGGAGCCTATTCGTCTCACACCGCAGCCCGAACGTCTTCGACCCGGCCATCCAGTTCCTCCGGACCATCCGCATCTCACGGCTCATTCGACTCCCTTCCACATGGGCGACAAACACACCTTCTCCACAGCCGAAGATTGGGGCCATGATATCGTGTGGCACCCAGACCATTTCCAGCCAGTCCTTCTCGACGGCGACTGGGCAGTGGCTGTGAGGGACGTAAGTGGAGGGTGGATATATGACGATCGTTGGGACCTCGATACATTCAAATCTCGCGCCTACGATGCTGTATTGGAGAGATTAAGTAAGGTCAATCGACGAAGTAAGGACGACCCTGCTCTGCGCGCATACGGGGAAACGTTGTTCGATTTATTGCAGTCAAATAATTGGCTGGAAGTATCCTCCGCGTTCTACGCCCTTGCGTCAAGCCCGTCAAATAACCAAGTGAGTTGGGAGTTGCCTGCGGTCACCCCGCCGGCAGGAGTTGTGAAGCGCAAGTCTCGCGGAAAGGACGACGAAGGGGATGGTGAAGGCGGCTGGCAACGAGGTACCGGAGGTGGAAGTGAACAGCATTCAACGAAACAGCGGTCTCTGGGGCACGCAGGCGGCGGAGAGGGGAAAAAGGGCAGCCGGGAGAAGAAAAAGCCTCGTAGCGGAGAGAAGACAAAGCATCACACAGGAGACGGGCAGGGGTCCGATGTCGACCGCGACGAGGACGGTGGGGTTCTGGCGGTGACAGGCAGCACCTCAATGCAGACGGGGAACGATTTCAGGCCTGGGTGGATTACGCGGCCTGGTGAGCAGGACCCTGTGATTAGCTCCACCAGCGCAACACAGTATACCGATGCTGTTGGCAGGGCAGTTGTAGCAAAGAATGGAACTTGCTTCGCTCAGCTCCAAAAACGGTTGGCGGATTATTTCGGATCTATCCGAACCTCGGAGACGACATTGTCGTTTGGAACTCAGTGCCTTCCGGGAAGCGAGACGACAACATACCAGGGATCCGGCAGCGACAAGTTCCAACCATGTTCGGTTTCGCCTCAAAAGGAAGTTCGGATTCATCCGAACCGGGAAGCCAGTACCGTTGAGAGAGCACAGCGGTCTGCAGAACTCGAACGGGTGGTCCGGGTCTCCGAAAACCCTGGCGGCGAAATTCGGATTCATCCGAACCAGGAGGACGTGTCCGCCATGACAGACGACCGATGTCAGGACGCCGTAATGATGTGCACGGAAGTCCACAAGGAGCTGCAGGCAGACTGTCCAACTGAGGGTGAGTTATCGACCAGTTTCAATGTCGAGCCCCACACACTCGGAGCCGAATGCCTAGTGACAGTACGCGCTGAGTTAGCAGTCTTAAGCGACTCTCCGATGAAAGCGGACACGTCGTCGTCATTGGAAACTGCGGGGGCTCGGATGAATCCGAACCAGGGCCCTGTGAGCATGTCCCTCCCTGATGCAGGTTTGCAGACGACCGTAATTCGGATTCATCTGAGACATACAGACGAAGGACTTGACGGTTGTCGACTTCTGACAACTTTGGACAAGGACAATTCCGCCGACGACCGGATTGATCCGACACTCGGCGACGTGGGGATGGAGCAACCAATTCAGCCGGCATACGACGACCTCTTGTACTCCGGCCTTCACGACGAGGCGATAGGAGAGGACGTTCTGAAGAAGTCCTCTGACGCTGTTGGAGATAGATTTCTCTATTTGAGTGACGACGATAAAGACACAGCGTACGAGGACAAGAAGTTAAGGGGGGGAGAGGTGTTGTTGGACATCCATGGGACCTTGAGGACAACACAATACGACACAGTGGCGATGGAGGAAACCCAACCTGTCAATGTTGTGGACGTCGACGCTCTTTGTCCGGAGACGGACAGACTAAAATTGCGCGTCGCTGACGTGGAGGATTTTCGCCATCGGGATGGGGATGAATTCATGCCGTCTCCGGTCATCGACGCCGACATCTCGAACCTGTCAAGTTTCCCTGTGAGTTTGGAGCACGTCGTCGCCGCGTCGACGCGCACGGGGGCGCCAATCGTGCTGGGACTGCCATCGGTGGGCTCTGGTGACGTGGAAGCTAAGCCTGGTAAGCACTGTCTTCCTCTGCTTGCTTCCCGCTCGTCAGCCCGTTCGTGACGTGTTGTTTGCTTCGTCGATTTCAGGGAGGTGTGTAGGCGGCCGCCAACTGGATTGTGACAATGTGCTTCGTGAGGTGCTGTTTGTTTGGTTGCTCTTGCGCAGTTGTGTTGTTGATCTCCTACTGAACTGTCTGGGTGGCTATTTCTTGTACAGGTCGACAAGCTCGTGGACAAACACACGTGTTGCAGAAGCCGCCTGCCCTCGCAAGGTTGTCAGTCCTGGTTGCGGGAGGCACTGGTCGTCGCAATGTCACTGATTCGTTTCCTGGGGACACTAAACCTCGGGGCCCTCCCAAAAGGGTTGTCGTGCCCGTATTGGGCCCTCGCGCTAGACTCGTTGCCGAGGCAGCGGGTGTTGCCAAAAAAGACTGCAAGGAATTCCTTCTCGAGGCTTGCAGGGATACAAAGAAGGACAGTGCTAGTTTAGAATCAATAGTGTGTGGAAGGTCCAGAAGTAGGGGTGACGTTATGCGTGAACTTTTCGGGCCACAGAGTAGCGGTTCGTCGGACCATGGCCGCTAGGACGACATTTTCTCATAATGCCCCATCCTTTGTGCTTGCTGTATGCTGCGGGTGTTTGTTGAACAGGGTTTTCCTCGAGATGGAAGAGCAATCCTTGAAGACGTTATCTGCTCCCGGTTGCCGCTCACTATCATCGTCGAGCGTTTGCCGTCGTACAATTTACAGGTATCCATCAAGGACATCGTCGCACTTGTGGATGGATCCGGGGAGCTCAACGATGAGGTCGTCAATTTCTACATGGCGATGCTACTGGACGACTGCGGTCGGACTGCTGCTACCAAGAAGACGTACACCTTTAACTCTTTCTTCGCCTCTACACTGCTTCTGCGAGGTTCGGCAGCTGTTAGCAGATGGGCTAAAGATGTGGACCTCCTGTCTCATGACCTCGTCTTGGCACCAGTGCACAAGGACAACGAACATTGGAGCCTTTTGGCCATTGACTTCTCTAGACGTGTTTTGGAAATCTATGATTCTTTCTCGTGTTCGTCATCCAAAGATAACTTCTACTCTGCACTTTTAGATAGATCTGTTAAATTTTTGAACACGGTGGCAGGTGCCGCCGGTGATAGTCGCACTTTCGACCACTTCGCTCGCGAGGTCAGCGTGAAAGGTGTCCCTCGGCAGCACGACGGGGCTAGTTGTGGGGTGTTCATGTTGATGTTCGCTTCCTGTTTGGCGAGAGGTTTACGTCCACCTTTTGGTTTCTCCCATAGACACATCTCCTCTATCAGAGCTAGACTAGCTTTGGCGATTTGCGATGTTGGTAGGTAAGCGTCTATCTTTTTGCTGATCATGTAGTGTAGAAGGGTTGACTTAGAAGAAAATTTCGTTCTTCTCCGGACGAAATTTGTTCCATTTCATTTTTTTCCGTGAGAGATTAGTGGGTGTTCTCGGTTTGGTTCAGAGCAGAACTGGCTGTCACTGCCAGGATATCTCCGGGTGAAATTGTCATGTCCCCGGCGTGTTTGTCGTCGACAATATTGTTCTTTCTCATTGGCTTTCGATTCTCACAAACGTCCCCGTTGTTGGGGCGCCTGTTTCGTGATTGACTTTCTCACTTTCATCATTTTGTGTCTTGTGTGGTGTGATGTTCTGCCCGCATACTTGGATGCATCCGAGCTCCAACTATCTCTATGTTTTTTTGCCTCTCTCTCGAACCTTCCCCGTCGTCTACACTCATCTATGCATTTTCACTTTGAATGTCGTGAGGCATCACAGAGAAGAAAATACAACAAAAGGGCCTCTTTATACATTAAATGGTCCGTCTGGCCGTCCTCGCTGGGGGCTTTTTGATGGCCCGAAAATACAACACAAGGGCCTCTTTATACATTTGATGGTCCGTCTGACCCTCCGCGCTGGGTGCTTTTTGATGGCCCGAAAATACAACACAAGGGCCTCTTTATACATTTGATGGTCCGTCTGGCCCTCCTCACCGATTGGTGCTACAAAGTGACACAAACAGAATTGAGCTGGCACTCAAAAAGAAATGAATATTGTATGATTGGTCCTCAATTTCCGAAAAAGGACTTCAAAATTCAACTTCGTCTCTCTCTCTCTCTCTCTCTCTCTCTCACACACACACACACACACACACACTCACACACACACACACAGTTGTGTCTACTGCGCTCATTTGCTGTTTGCTTCCGACTCCCTCTCCCTGTCATCTCGGATGCATCCGAACTTGGCTTACTCTCGCCGAACGAAAACCTTGCAGCTCTTGCACAACTACACTTGTGGTTTTCGCGTGTTCCTCGAACATGCGTCTCCTGTACGACATGTCGTCATATAAAGAAAATTCAGTTCGATTATCCACACTCTCTCCGTCTGTCTCTGTCTCTGTCCTTGTCTCTGTCCCTGTCTCTCTCTCTCTCTCTCTCTCTCTCTCTCTCTCTCTCTCTCTC